CGGGGGGGGGCCGGGCCCCTGCCGTGAGGAGGGGACGGGGGAGAAAGGGCTGCCCCAGCCCCGCCAGTCCAGGGCCACCCCGGAGCAGCGCTGCCCCCCACGGCCCTCCCCAGGCACCGGCACTTTCCCACCCCAGGCCTTGCTGGCAGCACACACAGCCTTTACAAAACAAACACCATTTACTGCACAGTTAAGATCACAGGCTCAATGTGAGCAATTTCTGAGCTCCCGGCACATCCGCAAGCCCCGTTTTGCCCCGCTCAGGACGAGGCGGGCCCCAGCACCTGCACCAGGACATGCACCGCAGGGACAGGCCCCTTGCAGGCAGCCAGGAGCAAGGGACAAGCACAGCCCCACATGCTTGCAGGCCCACGGGCGCTTCCCTCGTGTCAGTGCAAGACTCACAGCTCAACCCAGGGATCTGGCACCCGTTGCATCCCCCTCCCCAAACCAGCCGAAGCCAAACAGGGCAGAAAGGAGCCTTCTGGGCCCAGAGCACAAGGACAAGTGCCCTGAACGTCCCAGGTGACAGCCAGGAGCAGCACGCCCTGCCCAGGGAGGCAGGGGCCCAGGACAGCAAGCATCACCCTGAGCTGGCATACAGCTGCCTCGGGGCCCCAGCTAGCGCAGGCTGCCCGCCTGGCCTGGGCTCCTGCAGCACGAGGGATGCCACCATGCTACTCGGGCGGCTGTGGGGCGCGCTCCCCGGGGGTGGGCGGGTCCCCGTACAGGGAGCTGAAGCGGGCACGGCTCTCCAGGAGCAGCTGGTGGCCCACACCAGATGCCAGCCCCACCAGGCAGTGGGCTCGCACGATGCCAGCCTGCCCTCCTGACACCAGCCAGCCGTGTGAGTCCAGGTTGGGGCTGAAGCGCACCTGCGGGGAGAGAAGAGGGTCAGCACTGGGACCGCAGCAGCCCAGGAGGCAGCATGGGGAGGGGGATGGATGCAGATGCTGGCTGCAAGCTGCTGGGGCAGCTGTGCAGCACCTGCAGGTCTGCTGGGAGCAGGGAGACGTCCCACTTAACACTGGGGCACAGAGGGTGGGCATGGCCTCTCCCCACACATGCTAACCCAGTCTGGGCATATCCCCCCGCAACGTAGCCTTGGCGGGAGCCTGGCCCCAGGGCAAGAAGAAGGGCTGAACACCTCTGGTCTCCCCCAGCCATTGGTACTCAGAGCTAGGTGGGAGGAAACCCAGAGCCGAATGGGAGGCAGCGCGTGCCACAGCCTCTTGCCTGCCCTGCTCCCCCTTGCCAGGCTGCGAGTCGGGCTGCCAGCCCAGCGCAGCCCTGCCTCACCTTGTGCAAGGACTCCAGCTGCAGGCGGGGCAGGCTCAGCTCTGCCTTCACCTCCTGCGTGTGCATCCTGCGCATGGGCTCCCGGCTCGGGAAGTTCTTGAAGCTGCGCTGTGAAGCGGAGGCATGGTGAGGGGCAGCATGCCGTGGGAGGGATCGCGGCATGCATACAGGGACATCACTGGGACTGCAGGACAGGCAGGTGTCGCTTGGCCAGGGGACACGTGAGTCACCCACAGGGCCACCCGCTGAGCACAGTCACAGCCTCAAGCCTCCTGTCAGGGCAGCGCTGCTGGCGGCAGCACAAAGCAGTTCCTCCAGGGAGGGACTGGGCAGGGTGACAGGAGCAGGGAGACCCCTCCACGTGCTTCTCCTGTGCTGGCAGCTCTGACCTACAGAGACTCGCTCCTGTCTCCAAGAAGCCCCTGGAACACAGTTCCCCCCCTGATGTCCCAAGCTAGCGGCTCCAAACAGGGCCTGGCTGCTAGTGTCAGCCCAGGCAGTCCTGTAACCCCAGAGGCTTCTTTCCAGGGCTGGGCACAGCCAAACTGCTGGTTCACAGCCAGGATGCTGAGAGCCTTGTTCTGCTCTCCAGAGAAAGCCCACAGTAATGCACCCCCCACTGCCTGGGGACCAGCAGTCAGAGACCACGCTGGGCTTGCTTGCTGCTGGCAGGAGGAAACATCCCGGCCAGGCCTGGCCCCAGGCTGATGATATCGCAAGACCCAGGCTGCATGGACGTGGGGCAGCAGGGCAGATCATCCCCCTTGCTCTTGGGCCAACCTGTGCGCCGCAGGAGGCCAGGGTGCTCGCGCACACTCTGAGCAGCATTTCCACACCCTGCCATGCCCATATGCCCAGCCACAACCCAACAGGCCCCTCAGCCCGCTCCCACATCCCATGCAGGTCCCATGCATGGCTGGAAGCATCCTCAGCCCCAGGAGGGTCCCGTTCCCCTGCCCTTATACCAGGTCTGTGTCCCGGAAGCGGATGTAGGTTTTGGTCACCATCTCACTGTAGAGCCTGGTCTTTGGCAGGGCCTGCTCGCCGCCCTCAGGGCTGCAGGGCAGCAGATCAGCTTTGTAGACTGGCTGTGGGAGAGAGGGGGCTGAGGCCAGCGGGTCTCTGTGCTCAGGTGCAGCTGCTGTGACCCCAGCAAGTGCTGACCCCAGCCTGGCCACACGACCCAGGCCCAGCCAGGTGGGATGGCGCTGGGGCTGTGGGGACCCTCGGGAGTCCTGCCCTGCTCCGGAGCACCATGAGCTCTGGGGCAGGAGGAGAGGAAGAGGGTTCTGGCCACGGGGGCATGCAACAAGACAGGGCCAGGCCTGTCCCTTTCACAACTCTAACCCAAGAGGTCCTTGTCCCAGTGCCTGGCCTGCTGCCACCTCCAGCCCCTGCCTGTGCCTGGAGACAAGAGCTCAACAGCCTCCATCCACACACACGGGGCAACGGATACCCAGAGGAGGACTGTTTATAAAGACCCTTTCAGGGACCCGAAAACACAACTCCCGCCCTGCCCAGCCCGACACGCAACACAGAAAGGCCCCACCAAGGAGAACGAGCTCTTACGAATCTGCGCTCTGAGGGCCGCTTGATGTTGAGGGGGTTGACAGCCAGGTCAGGCAGCACTGCAGCCACCAGCTCCCCTGTGATGTCTCCAGCAGCCACCGTGTTCAGCCAATCCGAGCCAGAGATACTCTGCAGGAAAAGGCAGGGTCCCAGGGTCCCCACAGGCTCTTCGCGACCATCTGGCCCAGAGGAGCCTCCCTCAGCCAGGCAGCAGCAGCACTAACGCACACCCCTGGACACAGCTCTGCTCCCCCGGGCAGAGCCTGACTCACAAGCGTAGCCAGCTTGGATGCAGCGGGGACAACACCTCACCCTGCTGCCCCAGTCCCTCATCCTGAGGGCAGGAGGTAACTCCCAGAGCCAGAGGCTCACATGGGCTTGGCAGTTTGCCCCCCACCCTCACCCCAAGAGCTGCAGGGCCCAGCTGACCCTGGGTTTGAGGCAGGCACCCACCCCTCTGGCCATGGCTCATCAGGGCTGCCCAGGGACAGGACTGTACTGCACAAGCCTCTTACCCACACAGTCCCCTTGCGAGGGGCCACAAAATAAGCCTTGAAGCCTAGGTACCCAGCATCAATATAGTGGATCCCACAGAGACCATAACTGCAACAGAAAAAGAACATGAGGGCAGTGCCCCACACTGCCACCCAGGGACAGCGAGAGCCAAGCGGCCCAGGCAGAAAGCCCCCTCCCCAGGGACACAGGGACCTCGGCTGACAGTAGGGCAGGAATGGGGAGCTGTCCTCCCTCTCCGGCAGCAGGTAATAACTTGGCTCAGGGCAGCTCTCGGAGGTTAAGAACATGCCAAGACCCAGAACCCTTCTGCAAACTCGTGTCAGTCCAGGGACGTCTGTGCCAGAAGGGGGCACGCAGGAGCCCCAAAGCCCAGGCCAGCTCCAGGGCTTCATCCTTCCCAGCCCTGCTTGCTGCTCTTACCCCTGTGCCGCAGGATGCCATCCCCTCAGCTGCACTAACGCTGTGCAACTGTGCTGTGACCCACGATGGGTAGAGCCTGCACTCACCACAGCACAGCAGGATGTTCCCAGGGAGGGACAGATCATGGGAGCCCTGTGACGGGGACAGCTGGGAGGAGGTAAAACCAGATGCCAACAGCAGAGCTGGACCCCAGGACCCCTGTGGCAGGCACTGAGCAGGCACTATGTCGGCCCTGGCACTCACGAGGCATAACAGTTGTCCTGGGCCACCGTGACCCCGTTGTAGGGCAGCAGCCAGGCCACCTCAGTGCTGAGGAACCGCTTGATGCTGTTGATGGGCTCATAGAGCCGTCGCAGGTCCCAGAACTTGATCTTCCGGTCGTTCCCTGCCGTGACCAGGAAGTTGCTGAGAACCAGGAGAGAAGCAGCACTCAGACCCCAGAGCAGAGCTGTGCCCAATCCCTGGTGCAGGAAAGGGAGGGCCTGATCCTGCAGCATAGCACTGCCCCCACAGGCAGCAGCTAAACCACCTCCCACTCCACAAAGCACAAAAACTCAACCTGTTGCCGGGCTTTGGTGCCTTGGAGGGCTAAGCAACATCAGCACCGAGTCCTCTTAAGCCCAGCTCTGCAAAGGCACCTAATTTCCAGGAGCAAGCCTGCTCTCCCAGGCAGGAGCCACACTACGCACCATGGGCCTGCTCTCACCTGTTGGCCTTGCACCACTCGATGCTCCGAACAGCGTGGTCATGGGCCAGGAAGCACCGGAAGGGGTAGAGCTTGAGGGAGCCATCGGGCTGGCACACCCGCTGCAGCAGGGACTTGGTGGGCAGGTTCCAGATGGCCACAGTGCCTGGGGGAAGGATGAGTGTCTGCGACGAGCTGCTCCATCAGCACCACCGCCCCTGTGCCAGAGGCTGGGGAGTAACTGCGCTGGGGCCACAGGCACTAAGGAGATGCTGAGCACTGCAGCATGAGCATAAGGCAGCACCCAGCGTGGGCTGGGCTGAAGGATGGGTAACAGCACAGCAAGGGACAGGAGCAGCCTAGCTGGGCTGCAGAAGCAGTGAGGCGCAGCAGCAGACCCAGCGCCAGTCAGGCTGGTTGGGACGCAAGGATACGGCTCAGCTACAGCAGGTCCTGGCAGCGCAGCACAAAGCTGCAGGTCACCTGAAGCCAAACAAATTCATGTCCAGACAGTTCACGGACAGATGTGGATTAAGCCAGAGCAAAGTCCCGGAGCCGACAGGTACGCGAGGGGGCTTATGAGCTACGCCAGGGAAAGCTGTCTCCCTCCTCCAGGGAGGGGCAGAGCGTTCTTACACAGTGCCTGCTCCATGCCAGCACTGCCTCCCACTGGCTGTCGCTCCCTGACACTGCCCATACGCCTTATTCTCAGGCTCCCCCATGCTCTGCCCCAGCCTGAGACCGAGAAAGTACTAAGCTCACTGCATGTCCCTGCCTGCTGCAGAGTGAGGGCTGGACCCCTCCCTTGCTCCCTGCTAAGCTCTGCCGTGGGCTGCAGACCCTCTCAAGCAGGAAGGGGACTCACCATCATAGAAACCAGCTGCAAGGTGATGATGGGGCTTGGATGGCATCCAGGAGAGGCTGAAGCACTGGCCACACTCAGATGCATATCCTGCCTGGGTAGAGCCCACCTGCAGGGTGGCAATACACTGTACCTGGAAACACGAAGACAGACACAGGTCACAGCCCCATGCTGTTACTATCCGTGTCCCAAGAGACAGGGACACACAGGTTTGGGAGCAAGGCTCTACTCTGCCACCCCAGGCACCCTGGGCCAGTGAGACCTGCCAGCTTCCTGACCGCCTCCCCAGCCCTCCCATCTGCATTGGGCAGGGGACTTGCTGGGTGGCAGCCCTGATGTAGGAACGCAGTGGTACAGGACACTGACCTTGCAGATAACGTGCTTGTGGAGGGACCCATCTAGAAGAGAGCAGAGGAGGGTCAGGACAGACATCAGCTCTCCTAGAAACTCCCTGTGGCGGGAGCTGTTCAGAGCTTAGAGCCTGGCTCAGTGCTCCCTGTGGCCCTGGCCGGGGTCCCAGTCCCCGTCCTGTCCACCCAGCCAGAGCAGCGTCCCCGCCACAGCCTGCAAACGGCCGGCAGGCAACAGCCAGCAGCAGAAGACAGGAGTAAACGGATCAGCAAATCCAAGACCACGTAGGGGCCTGATCTCCAGGAACTTGCCTGCGCAGGAGGAAGGGGAGCACTGAAAGCCTCTTCAGGCAGAGACAGAACAGGGCTGACATTCCCTCCCTACCCCAAAGATCTGTGCCCCATCGAGACTGAACATATGTTCACCAAGCCCGAGAGGACCCCGTGACATACAGGGGCCAGACCAGTCGGAGCAACTCCAAATCCCTTCATGCAGACCATAGCCCCATCAGGGAGGAAACAAACATCTGTGCAGGACAGACTGCTGCACTCGGCAAAGCAAGGCTGGGCTGGCCAGGCCAGGCCAGGCCAGTGCCAGGGGACAAAGAAGCCAGGACAGCAGCTCCCAGGGAGCAGCCCCGCAGCGTGCAGACTGCGCAGGGCCCCTCTGTGCCCAGAGACCCCACATGCCCTCTACACACCACCTTTATCTGCTGGAGGATCTGCCCTGCCAGCAGCACGCGAGCGCCGCGGGGCCTCTATCCCACACCTCTCGGGCCAAAGGGCCCCCACATCCGGGATGAGGTTGCCTCAGATATCAGCAAGCTTTCAGCAGAAAAACAAGTGCATCTGCAGCTCAGAGCACGGCAACTGCAGGCAGAGGTGGTGTCACGTAGAGATACAGAGCAGCCATGTATCTTCTCTGGCACTTCGATTACAGTCGAATCACGGAGCAGAGAGCAGCCACGGGGAAGGTACTGGCTATTCATGAGGCAGAGACACCTAGTAATGGGCAGGGGGGGCCCCTGAGGGAACCCAGCACAGTCACATCAACCCAGGAGCCTCCAGCAGGGCCCCAAAACACCAATCTGATACTGGTGCCACAGCTGCAAATCCCCACCAGCACCCCCAGCCCGACTGCAAGGTGCACGGACAGCACGCGCAGCCGCAGCCAGGCTGACGCTACGCAACAGGACCAAGTCTGTCCACGAGAGCTTTGCAGGCTGGGGAAGGGTCTGGCCCTGCCGC